GTGTTTAGTTAAGGTCGAGATTCTACTGTGCTGTTATCAGTAGTAGGGTCTGTGGGACGTCATTTACAAAATTGGGCTAGTGTAAAAACTGAAAATGTGAAACTTACAATACTTCCTGTGCTTACGCCCTAGAAGTAAAAATATATTACATATAACAAATTCTATCAGGTAATGTAAATTCCGCGATAAAGTTAGATCATTTTAGAAACGATCCAGTTTATTTAGGTCTATGCAGTTGTTTGCTAGCAGATAGCTATTAATTAAAGGAGGGTTGTTTATTGTAGTATAAATAATTATCTGTTGCAGTCCTTGATAGGATCACTAATGTCTTACACGTAAATGTTCCTGATGGGCTAAATTAACAGGCGGTGTTTGTCGTTCGCCCGGACTTAGTAGTTGGAGCCAACCGGTGATCCAGGTTCTATGAGTCCACCAACACACAAGAAATGGTGTTGGTGAAGGATCGCTACAATGCGTTTACGATGGTTCATCGATTAAGTCCGCCAATTTTCTCCATCGACGCGCCTGGTCAGTATGTTTGCACAACAGGTCTAGTGCTATCGACAGCCTGTGCTGGTCTGATATAGCAGACCGGTGCGGTCTACCAGCTGTCCGTCCAGGAATATACGTGTCTTGCACACACTCGACGCGGCACACCACGATGCGGCTTCGTGCATGAGCGCGTTAGGATGTATTTGCTCTAGCGAGAACCCCTCAAAGCTCACCCGTAATCCGGCTTTTGTTTATTCATTTTGTTTGCACATCCCCTTCCATGATAACGCCGCTGGCCGCTGCATTCTGAGACGATCCCTGCATCAAATACCTTCACGGAAAAATCCCGACAAGGGAGAATTAATTTGTCAGATCGGTAACGTCTCGAGGTAGATTCAAATGCGTGAGATGTTAAATTGCAATAGTTACGCTCATTTGAAGCTCATTTTCCTCTTCATTTCATTGCAACAAAGTGGTTTCACGACCCCGCTTTCGCATTCCGTGGCAACTTTCTTTATAAGGTGCATAAATCAAGTAAGATACTCGCAACATGTTGGGCCTATCGCGCGTTGCTACGGCTTCCACTCACTTCGCTTCAGTCAGACTTTTAGTCACATACACACATCATTTCCATTCATACCGGGCATATCAACCACTGACAATGCCTTGCGCGAATACATTCGGGCTTACCCACACGTATTCGTTTTGAAAGTTTGACTTCCCTGCTGCTGGTAACCGCACTACCGCATCGCAACGATTTATACATGATATCACACCTAACGCATTGAAAAATATACGAAGAGCTTTTAAATAATTGACATAAATTCAAACCAATATGTTCTAATGCTTGTCGAACATTTTTTATCTGACGACCCGATCCGTCTTGTGATGATCAATATAATTCAACAAACGAGATCATGACGCAGAGTGGTTCATTACTGTCGTACAACAAACAACAAACGATTTAAGAATACATTTTTTCCCGTTGGTTATGTTTTAAATATATTTCATAATGCCCACATTTGTACAGACCCATTATTAAAAAGTAAAAGTCATATAATATTAATATAAAAGGTAATAAAGACAATAATTTTGCGGTCATTTACCACCTTAAACATGTTCTCAGTTTCTTGTCATGCAAAGAAAACTACGGATATTAAAAAAAAAGGCAAACTATAAGCCCCGCCCACCCACCCTATCTCAATTGTGATGATTTTTGGCTTTATTTTTTTCTTAATATACCTACATAGTATTCTTTGAACAACACGTTACTCAAAAACATGTTTTTAATTTCTCTTAGAGAGTAAGGATTTTGCAGCTAAGCTCCGCCCCCTTGGCTCACGACGAATAAAAAAATCATCAGAACTGAGACTGGGCGGGTGGGCGAGGCATATATTTTGACTCTTTTTCTTAACGTACTAATAGTCATCTTTTCATAACAAGAAACTTAGAACATGGTCAAAATGGTACGTTTTTGCAAGGAAAAGATGTCTGATGATTTTTTTTTTTAAAATGCAAAATCCTCCTTGTCTAGAACAAATCATCCATTCTGAATTCCTAAAATATAAAAAATAACTCTCAACACATATAAGTTTAAATTTTATGAGTTTAAGAAAGTATTTAACTTTTTTATAGAATGTCGACCGTAAAAGTCCAAAACCTATTCTATATTAAATATATTAGTGTTTTTCTTTATATAAGTTATATAATATTCATATAAAGTGTAATAGGGCCAAAAGTTTTCAGTTTCTTGTCATGAAAAGAAAACTACGTATATTAAGAAAAAAAGGCAAAGTATAACCCCCGCCCACCCGCCCTATCGCAATTCTGATGATTTTTTTTATTCGTCGTGAGCCAGTGGGAGGAGCTTAATTGCAAAATCCTCGTTTTTATAGAAGAAATCATCGGTTCCGAATTATTATTACTAGAGAGCGGAAAATATGCAGCAAAATTTTGAGAAATATGATCATATGATATGCACCAAATTTATGCAAATATGCAGTAACTTTCTTAATATATGCACAGATATGCAGTTGCATATGCTCCAAAAATAAAAAAAAAAGCTTAATAAACGAACAAAATTTATTTACAAAATTCAAAAACAGGTTTCCCGAGCTTACGTTTTATTACAAAAAATACATAAATGCAAAGTGTTTAATTACTACTAATTACACTAACACATAAATCACGTTTTTAAAGATAATATTCTTATACTAAAAAATAAATATAAACAGATCAAATTAAAAAATAGTAGTAATCCACTATTTAATTACTATTTTGGTAACAATTTATTTTTAGATATTTTTCGACATATTCTAACAAAAAATTTTTCTGGTGATTTTTAAGTAAATGTATTTGTAAATAGAAAAACTGCGTACGTCCACAGATGTAAAAATACTTAGCAGTTTAGGGCAGGCGCGGCAAAACACAGTTCGTTCTTGAAGAAGTTCAGGAAAAAATTTAATCCATAAATTAATTTGAGTTATCTTCGACATATTGATAAACCTGTATCCTTTTAAATGCTTTCAGTACAAACTCACGATGAAAAATAATAGTATAACGTCTCTTCGACCACCACTAAACGTACCATTAATACACTTAACTAACGAACAAAATATTGGGAATGAACGGTATTTCCAAAGGTAATTAGGGCGCGAATTTACCTGGAAGGATGGCTAACACCCAGTGGTGTCTCCAAACTACCATAAAACCCAAACCTTTTCTAGTTATTTGAAGCTCAGGACAATATTTGCAATATGATTAATAAAATTTCGTCTTTATAGATAAATTCCGATAGAATGACAATAATTTTTTTTTTCAAATTAGCACAAAAATTGATAAAAATGCAAAATATGCACCCGTTCCGTGAAATATGCAGCAGAAGGCAAATATATGCAAATATGCATTTTTTTTATAGCTGTATTCATTTTTAATTAGCATGATTCGTTCACATATTAAATATCAAAACTTATATGCAAAAAATAACGGATATGCAAATTTCATAAAATCCGCTCTCTAATTATTACCTTCAGAAAATATTTGACTTGTTTTTATAGAATGTCGACTGTAAAAATCCAAAACTTTTTCCGTATTATATTAGATTTTTTTATAAAAGTCGTATAATATTAATATAAAAAGTAGAAAGTTTCCAGTTTCTTGTGGTGAAAAGAAAACTATGCATATTAAGAAAAAAAAGGCATAATATCCCTACTTAAATCTTATAAAATAGCGTCCAGATCTTAAAAAAAAATAAAAATTAAAAACGTGTAAGAAAGAAGAAAGAAACTGAAAAATTGATTGCTTGGAAATTTTGCAAATGTTTTAAAATTATCGTAAGCATATTAAATCTCAAAATTTTGTGGATTTTATCTAACATATGCTAAATATTATGAGGGTACAACTTTTTATCGGCGCATTCATTTGTTTTAGAGTTGTATATACAGGGCGATTAAAAAAAATAATGAAACAAGTAGTTTATTTCATTGATTAAATCTGAAAAGGCTTACCTCCTTAAGGAATACAGTATTGTCGTTGTTAGTATTACACTGTACTGAGTGAAATTAACATATTCGTCTTTGCCAAAATGTTGATGACACTATCACATTATCTGTACTTTCAAAATCCACACCCGGCTATATTTTAATGTATAGATGTTATCATTGTACTTCAGAGGCGAGGAAAGTTTTTTCTCATGACTTACTTGATATTATTTTTTTTGTCACGATTTGGATTACTTATAACTTAAGAAGTCCTTTACGAATGTTATTCAAATTTGACTTCTTATAGACAATTTTTGTGACAATATATTTTGATGGGTTCCAAAATCTTGGTATATTAAAGATTTTTTCTCTTTTTTCTCCAAATGTCAGTGACGAAATAATTAATCAAAATTAAGAAACTGATGTAAAGTTCGGGTAGTAGTTGGTAAGAATTTTTATTGACGCTTAAACTTTTAGGTTCACGTAGTGACGGTTTGTTGTTTGAAATAGTAATAAATTTACATATGCTGTGTGTTTAGTTTTTATTGGTTTGAAGTCATGACATTAATGCGATTAAGCCGAATCAGCACATGGTTCCGCGATTTGAAGTAAGAATAAAATGAAAAAGTCGGAGATGTTGGAAATAAAAGAGGCAAATTGATTGCAATCGTCGTGACAGCGAGTGAAGACTTGCCCTAACTGAAATAATAAATTGTGTGCGCCGTGAATAATTTAAGGCTGTTAATTCTTCTCGACGGCGTGACTTTTCTGTTACAAATTTAAAATATCGGGTAAAAAGAAGATGGTTTATTAGGAGTATCGCGTACGCAGAAGGATCGGAGGGAGCGTGGCGCGGTCTCGCACTCGCAGTTCATTCATAATGGGATGTATTGATGTCTGGTGTGGATTTGGGTAGACGTGTACTGGAAGGTAGAAGAGTTCGTGTTCTGTACTCTATAGTCTGTATAGTGTATATTTCATTGATTGCGCTGGCGTTGGGCTTCAGGGAGCCTGCGACACGCCCGCCGCGCTCATCCTAGCGAGCGCGCGTTGCCGCCTCCGGCCTCTGCCGTCCGAGCTGTTCTGTAGCTGCTTATTTATCGGGCGGCTGCGACCTGAAACGCGCCGATCCCAATCTGATCCAGAGTTGCAGCACCAAGCGAAATTGGCAGTAGCCGCTGCGGCAGCCGCGAAATGATGGATTTCGCGCCTTTCACCCCCGCAACTGCTTGACCAAGTGTCGACCGACACTGACGCCTGTCTGCGCCGCGCTCCACGTGTCATGATCAACACAGTGTACACGCATCTTCCTCGACGCATTCTGTTTGGACGCTGCCGGCCGGTGCCGCGTGTGTGACGTGTGACGTGCTGTGAAGTGCGGCGATGCTGTGAACCCCCCTTAAGCGGTTCACTCAGGCGACAAGCTGCCTCTGCAGCCGGTTTTCGTGTGAGAGGACACAACAAACAGTTGCCTTGGCTCCAACACCGGTCCTCGTGGGCTACAGCCTGGTCGGCGTGTACCCGTGCGCGGTGTGGAAACCGCATCGCGCCAGCAGCCCTTGCACGACTTCCACGGGGCCCGTCCGCACCAGAGTGGCTGGAACCGCGCGAAATCAACCGTATCCGGCTCAGTCAGGACAGGTGCACCACTGTCAAGGCCACCAAGAGGCACCCGCGGCTACAGCAACCACCAACACGGCGGCCGCACGAGTCCAGCCTCCGCAGCTACTGGTCACGGCCTGTAGCTGCAATAATAACAACACCACGGCCGAACTACAAGTCGCCACGAACACCACTCCGATGGTCTTCGTTCCGTTCTCGATGCCCAGTTATGCTCCACCAATGGCGGCAGGCGCACTCTACACCAACAACTGCAGCCCCTCCAAGGTAACGCATACCCCCCTTTAGCCGGCTTTGACCGATGGCTCGCAGAAATTTCTTTTGGACTGCGTCCTAGACAGCCCTGGCCTTTATTCACAATTTCTTAATTTTTTTTTTTTGTGATGATTTACACGTTTGCAACAACAAAATGTAAATAATAAACTACGCATGCGTTACCTAATGTTATTCAAATATGTATGCACAAGAACGTTCCTTCAACATTGACATAGCAGGTTATTCGCTTCCTTAAAGAACGGCATCAACAATCTGTGATCATATTTGGATAAAATCGACATTTTATTGAACGGTTTCAACAAGTTTATAAATTTTTAATTCGAAGAACATCCAACTGCTAAAGGTCTCTCGATCATCCCGGTCATTCGAATTCACGAACCAGTGGTTTACGGTTAGCCATTTTAGCGTATTTGCATTGGCAATTTAAACCGAATATGTAATCTTTTTCGTCGGTATGGTGCTCATCAAAGTCTCCACAACGTTTGATATAGCGGAAGCTCGAAATGGGAGTTACGTGTTATATCGCTGAATTATATGTCATGTTGGTTGAATATGTTAAGTCGCAGGTCACGGATATCTTTAAAAACCACGTTTTCAAGTAGGGTACATTTGATTTAATAAATATTTAAACGTCGGGCAAACAGGAAATTGAAGTTGTGAGGTCGTTCGTTCCATATGAGTAAAAAGTTTGCGACTTCGGGAACGATTTATTGGATGCCTTGTTGGTATAGTGAAATCGGTTAATGTCTCATCCCGAAACTTAAATGCAGTGGAATCGCATGAATAACCCTCCAAGTGTCGTTGAGTTAAACTACATCGCAAAATCTAAACCCCCTCTACTACTGAAGGGAATACAAATTTCAACAATTTCGTTAAAAAGTTAGAAAATTGCCACGGAGTTGCGGAGGGATTCCGGTTACTGTCTTAACTTTTAGCCTTTTACCGTTCCCTAACAGTTTAACGACGATATACCAGGAACATCTAATAAATTTATAAACTAATTTACAAGCAGATGTTTTCATTAAAATTTCTTTTCAGATTTACTCCAAAAATTGCTTCGTGCCGCACTTTGCTTGATTAATCAAAATAAATGTTACAACTTTTGTCGCATTTTAATTAAAGCAATATTTCTGCAGCATTTGAAAAACACTTCCGAAAGAAAAATAAAATAAAGCCATTAATTTGCATAGTCGCTCGGAAATTAGTTGATATTCTCTACAAAACTTTGAGCATTCACTTTTCTCCTTTCGTACAACGCTTATTTAACAAGACATGGAAGGCACGAATTGGAGCCGTTATGACGACGCATCCGCCATTCGGCCACATTGCGTCAAAATGATGGGAATAATGGGGAACCAAAGGGGTGCGTAAAATGGCATTTTACGAAGTGAAGAAGCCGTGAGATGTGAGCTAACTCAACTTTAGTGGCTTTTAAGACGGAACGTAATTAAAATATAAGGGTTCCAACTTGTTGTTTGAGGCTGACGTCTGTCAGTTAGTTATATAGCAAAATCTTAAGTAAAGCGCCGCGGGCTATTACTTAGACCCCCACTTATTATTGCTTGAATTATTAGTTTTCAGACATGCCGAGAAGCCAAACCTTATCCTTATCTTCTGCCGTTTTATGAGAGTCATCGTGTACTTTCTCGGCTACAATATTTGTAGTCGTCTTGTTCTTTACACAAAATTGAACTCGAGAAATGATTAATAACCCGACTAATCAAGCGGTTCGCTGATTTTCATTAATTTCGTTTTGTATAATCAGTGTTGATGAGTATTTGGTTAACGAAAAACAAACGATGGAACTTTTCATTGACTTTTAACAACGAACTACCAGACGACATTTACAAAAACAGACATAGCTAACCTTTTATTTTTGTTGAGTTTGTAAAAATTTTACGCAAAAAATAAACAACTTTTAGCTGTGCAATCAAGCTGTGTCCAAATTTTTGCAACGACTGTAATCACATATGTATTACTTCTATGTTGCTAAGTGTCCTCAGAAGATTCTGAAATCGAAACGGTAAAGCAATATATCGGACCTCTCTATCATAGTAAGATTAATTTGTGCATGCTCTCCTACTGGAATTTATTTGTCTCTGTTTTCGAGCGCTTGTGGGTTAATCTTACTCTGTTTTTACTTCCCGAGCGTAAGCAAAGGAAGTAAAATCGAGTCGATCTCGATCTTTCATGACCCCTAGAAGACGAAGAAATAGGTCGCGTTTCCGTCCGTCTGTCCGTCTGTCTGCCGTCCCGGATTTTTATTAGACATATAATCTCCGAAAGTACTGGACCGATTGTTGTTAAATTTTGTATTTATATTAGGTATATCATGTAGATGGTAAAACGCTAACCAAAATTTGTTTAATCATCCCCACCACTAATGCTTTGAGATTTTACAAATGTTTTAAGGTTATAAAGAGCATAATAAATTTTTAGTTAAAATATATTTGCTTATCCCCTCCAAAAAATTGATGACATCAGCTCAAAAGTTTGCTGAATAATCCTATCTAAAATGTACAAAATATGGTGAGTCTCTTCTTGTGATTTACCATTCCATTAATATTTTTTTGGATTTGCATATACAGGGTGACTCAAAAAATTTAATGAATGCGCAAATTTATTTTATTGATTTAATCAAGAACTACAAAACCGAAATCACGTTTCCGACAGCGAGGGAAGTACTGTCTAAACTCTTTAGACCAATTTTTTTCTAATAATTTGTTAACCTTAGACGTGAAATATTAGATGTATGGTCCAACTGTTAATTTTAAAATAAATTAATATTATTTAGAGAAAAATTTAGAGAAAAAATCATCATCTTCCGTGATTTTTTGATCGTGAACACCGCTTCCATGTAGAGTCCGCAACATAAGTTTAATAGATATATAGCTTTACCACACATAATTTATTTTGGTTGTAGGATTGCTGCACTATTTTTTAAAGATATAACAATGGAAAGCTCTTATTGAAAAACAATGTCTTATAGTAATAATAGTAATAATAATACATTAGACTAATTCTAACTGATTAATAAAAAATCAAAATCTCTTTAAATGATATGAAACTAAGATCACATTCATTTTATATAGCGCTACTTTTACGTTTTTTCGACCTTTCATGACCCCCAGATTACGAAGAAATAAGTCTCTCGTTTCCGTCTGTTTGTCTGTCCGTCTGTCCGTCTATCGTCTCGGATGTTTATTAGACAGATAATCTCCGAAAGTACTGAGCTGATTGCTGTCAAATTTTGTATTTATATTTGTCTAATCATCGCCACCAATAATGTAACGACGTCATTTTAAAATTGCACATAGTAAATGGGTTTTAAATTGTAAGAAATAACATAGTCCTACACATGTAGTTTATGATTCCGTATTGAGTTTTTACCCGAAACGTCCAGATTTTTGGGGAAAAAATCAAAATTATAAAACATTTTGCAATTTAATTGTGAATCTGCAAAACTGAATGCTTTGAAATCTTGCAGATGTTTTAAAATTATCTAAAAAAGAAAAAACTAAAGAAAAGTTGATGAATGCGTGAATTTATTTTATTGATTTAATCAGGAATTACAAAACCGAATGTATTTGCTCATCCCTTGTTGAATAAATCCTATCTCAAATGTGCAAAGTGCTGCAAAAAAATTAATGACTGAGTCAATTTAAATTATTGATTAAATCAGGAACGGTTCACCCCATTTTCTCAGAAAATTATATATAAAAAATAACACTTGAGCGTCAGATTGCTATTACTTAGTGTTACCAAGGGTTGTTAGAAGTGGATTATTTTAAGTTCAAACATGGTGAGTCATCAGAATCTGACAACGGACTGTCAGTCAGGGGCGTAACATGCACATTTCAGAAGGTGGTGGTTTCTAAATTAATTTTTTTAAATCGCAAACAATAACACGCGGAAATATAAACTTAAATGAACTGGTCAACACACTAGCACGAATGCGGATGAATCTATTAGGCACACATTTACATAAAATCTTCGTCGCATCATTTTTCATGATATTTGCCGTTAGGAGACAATTTACAAATTAAAAAAAAATCTTTGAACTTTGTGTGCCAATTATGAGTCTCGTAAATAGGGGAGCAAATAAAGCACCCATATTCTAACTTTGATTTTAACAGACTAAATATAAATTAATTAAATTAATTAAAAGTGTTTCAGGTTAATGAAATCTCTAGAATTTCTAAGTATAATACAAGTTTGAGGATCTTCAATAAAGACATGGATTATAACGGGTGTACATTAGAAAATATATTTGTAAAGGCGGTGAAAATTTAGTTGCTTTCTTATAGTGTTATATTTTTTTATGTACACCCGTTATAAAAAGCGAGTGGGTCAGGTTTTACGAAAATATAATTTATTTGTTTGAAAATGCAAAACCGTCTACAGCTCGTATAAATTTGTCAATATTTTCTTCATTCTGATATGTTAAAGCCTAATCGAGATGAATGACATAATCAATGACTTTCTTTATTAAGTCAAACACTGTTAATAAATTAGAATGTGGCATATCATATATATTTACCATAAAAAAAAAAATGTCCGAAAGCATGATATTCATAATACACATATAAAATTTGACAACAATCGTTCTAGTAGTTTCGGAAATTATCTGTCTAATATAAATCCTGACAGACAGATAGACAGACAGACCCGACGAAAACGAAGGACCTTTTTCTTCGTACTCTAGGGGTCATCAAAAGTCGAGAAAACGTAAAAGTAGAGAATCGGTCGATTTTTCCTCATAAAAATCACTCGTTTGGTCTTTAAAATTGCGGTTCTGCCTTTTAGAAATTGAATATTTCACGACGTTTAAAGTGTGCATATTTCAATCGCTATAAACAAAAGAACCGCCTACTTCATTAACTACGATCATGTTGGCTGTGGTTTCGACTCGATTTGTACTGTTATCATAATTATGAATAATGACTTAAGAAAACAATAATCAAAGAGTAGTTTATTGGAGAAAACAGAAT